TATTGCTAGTGGGAATGTAAACTTGTACAACCACTTTGCAAATCAATCTGGCACTTTCTCAGACAATTAGGAATAGAGTTTCCTCAAGATCCAGCTATACCATGCCTGGGCATATACCCAAAATATGCTCAACTATACAAGGACATTTGCTCAACCATGTTCATAGCAGCTCTATTCATAATAGCCAGATTCTGGATAAAGAGCACTTTGATATGAAGATGAAAAGAAAGATGCCCTGGAGAAAATGACATCCAAAAGATATCATGGTCATTGGCTTCTGGAAATCACATCTTTTATCCCGACAAGAGAAGTTAGCGTCTTTCCTTTGCTGTTTTTATAGATGTGCAGGCATCATATCAGTTATAAAATGGAGCTTACACACAATTTAGGAAAAATGGTTTATTTTTACAATGCATCATAGAATATAAAAAATATCTCCCAGTGCATATTCTTTTAGTCTTCACACACTCTCATGTGAAAAGAAGCTTTTATAATACACATTTTACAGATGAGTAAACACAGAATTATGAGTAATGTTGGCACGTTTCAACTTCTCCTGATGGAGTACACTAACAGAGTTTTACTTGCATATTGGCGAAGAACACCAGCAGTTAGTCAGCTTGGTATGAGAAGTGAACTCATCGTACACGGACTTACAAAAGTCATAAACCAGTTCAGTTTCCTTGACTGCACAAACGTAACAGCATACACTGCAGTAGTTTTGTTTGCAGAATCACCTTTCTCGTGACCAGGGAAAAGACTCCACGTCAATCACTCAGAATGGACTTTGTCATGTGATCCTTAGTCATATTTTCTCATTAACCATAGCATGGAAACAACATTTTGTAGAAAATAAGTAGAACCCTCCAATAATCTGTTATCTTTAATGTTTTATTTCTCTGGTCTGCTTAGTACACATACTGTTTGCAGAGAAGACTCCATTCATACCTTTCCCAAACTATACCAAGATCAAGATCTTTGAGCAAAGTGCGAATTCCAAGCACTCAGTGTGCAGAGTTGGCTCCATGTACTCGCTGTAGTATGTTTTCTGTAACCCTTCAGTACTTACCATTCAATTCAAGTAAATGGTCCCTAGGCCTGTATATGACCTAATTACTCTAAACATACATGTTTCCCTGTACTACGTGGCAATGATCTTCATAATTTTCTTAGGAAGCCTATGCTTCACAGGGCACTTTTGGTGCCCTCAAGAAAATACTATTCTCATATTTCAACTTTGCACTTCTTGATCATACATGATCTATACTGTATTTGTTCAACAGTCAATTATGCTTTGTATTCTACAGATGATAGGGACTCAGGAAAATCTAATTAGTATTTCAAGATGGGTCACATGGGGAAAAAAAGTGTGAACAAAAGTCTCTTCTGTAGTTCTAAGCACCATTCCTCCACTAATTTCCATCATTATTTTCATCCCCAGTGCACTGAAGAAGAGGTTTTGATGTACACAATGCACAGACCAAAAAAAGAAAAAGGAAATGAAAAGAAAAAAAAAAAAAACAAGCAATGTTGATATAAAGTTTAAATCAAGGGAAACTGAGTAAATTGTACAAGTTTAATAGTAGGCTATAAAGGAATATTTTATTTTAAATAACTTACATACCAGACCTCCTGGTCAGTTGTAATATTTGACTGAGTGTCAGTGGCTATTAAGAGAACCCTCCAAACAATTTCTCGGTGATTCACTGGGATATGGCAGTGGAAGAGAAAAAGCTGATGGAGACAGAGAATGTGCTCGATGCACAATTATCATGATTGCCAACAAGAAAAGTGACTGTATATCACACTGGCTCCCGTGAATACAGAACTTCTTAAATTCTCCAAGCTCATGACAGAGGCATGATGAAGGCGGCATTTATTTTTTTGTTTCCTAATGGAAGGAAATGAAGGTTTGTCAGAAGAGAGCCTCCCTCTTTAGGAAAGAACAGAAAACACACAACTCGCTGCCCCAGGGAAAGTGGGAAATTATGTGTTTGACATTGGTTACATATATTTCTTGCCTTTGTTTCTCTGCTGGATTTACTCCAATAATATAACATAATTAATTTTAGAAATATCTGAAGTTTTAACAGAATGGATAGTTATAATTCTTAATTAAAAGTTGCTTTGGATTTATTGAGCTGACTGAATTCATGATAAAAAAATGTCTTTTTATTTTTGCCATGTATTTTTCTTTCTCCAATGTTTAAAAGGGATAAAGGGAGTGTTAACTTAAAGAAATAAGGAATTACTAATTAACTTAGGTTCCATTTATTGTATTCTTTTACCTATCTAATTATTTCTTGGCTGCATCTTTCACAACGTGCTTTGATAAACAGAAATTGTTTATTGGAGGAAAGTATGCATAGCAACCAACTTTTATGCTCATTAGGCAATTTAAAAACTCACTGTCCATGTCATATCCCATTAAAGAAAACACACAAATTTTATACAATTCATTTATTTCACTTCCTCCAGAATGGGAATTGCTGTCATTCAAGCTAGCTGGCACCGCTTATTCCACTATCAAACACAGATGTGTTGTTTTTTTGTTGCTTTCCGAAGTTGATGAGACTCAGAATGATAGTGTTTACTCTGTTTTCATATTGTGAGTTCTGGGAAATCCATTCTTGATTTTAAAATGAAAGGGTCAAAGTGTGTAACATGAGAGGAACCCTTGACTTTTTGCGGGAAAATATAGAAGGAGCTAATGCAAAGTTCAAGAGAATATTTACATGATGCGGAAGACCAAACTTAAAATATTGGGAAGCAGAATTTTTAATGCAGTTAATGCCCTGAAATATTTTTAACAGGACAAAAACAAGGGAAAAAACCCAATATCTCTGGCACAGGGTTGATTCTCATTTAAAGAATGTGTGACAGTGATCTCCAATTATGTTTATAGCACATTTTAATTATCTGACTAAAGTAAGCTGTGAGAAATCAAACGCATGTCTGTTTTGTGAAGTGATACAGAAAATCTACATGTGTATAAAAACAGGTTGAGAAAAGTTCAGATTTCAAAGTCAGAACATCAGCACTTAGGCAGAAGCACAAATCTTAACTCAAGTCATCATGAAATGAAAACATGGTTGGACACCAAGCTTCCAAGAGCTGAACCCAAACCATCAGCTTCACCAAATTTACATAGTGAAGTATCTGAAAACACCTCATTAAGTCAATACAGATCTTCTTATGCTAGCTTATTTTAATTTGCTTTGTGAATAAAATATTGTTACCTGCTAACCCTGTTTGAGTTTCCTTCCATTGCAAGCGTCACCCAATTTTCAAGACTGTCCAGTGGTTGATATTAAAGGGATAAAGTCTGATTTAAAAATAATTTTTAATACTGACAAATCTCCATAATGGGTTTTATAGAGGCACCTGTAAGGATTTCTGATAGCTTTGCTGACCTCTCACTCCGAAGGGGCGAATCCCAGGCCTCCAGGGCTCTAGGCAGGAATGCCGACACCTCCTGGCCTTCTCAACCAACACCTGCCAGTTAGTTAACCATGAGGAGACCCGTCTTCTAAGGGAGGCCATTTTCCCACAGAGTAATTATATGTCAAATGTATAAACCATCCATTCTTAATTCAGTTTGATGTCAAAAGGTGCCTGTTCAGTGGATTGGGAGTACAAGTTCCTTTAAGCAGAGAATGGGCAGATCAGTGACATGTTTAGATCTGGAAAGAACTGGAAAATTCTGTAAACTGCATGACAGGTGCATGATGACTTCTGCACCTAATTTATCTTCTTGGCTTTATTGTTGTATAATGAAACACACTGTGACATTGAGATTATTCATTCAAAGATAATAATGTGTGATGAGGATTCATAAAGAGATGAAATAATGCAAAATACGGGGACTAATTCATGTGATAATCTTAGAATGTCAGCTTTGAATTAATGGACACACAGTTACATGTGGTAACGAATAATTTGATGAGTCAGACAGAAAAAGGTGAATTTTATAGTAAGTGATATCTATAAAGTATGTATCGTGCTAAAGAAAGATAGTACTCACGTCGCTACATTTTCTTATTGGATAATTTGTCAAATTAATTCAGGTGAATGATTCTTTATTACTTTTCATGCATGTGTGTCTTTGTGTGCTGTCTGTGTCCGCCTGTGTGCGTGTTGTTCCTTCTCTGTCTTTAGCGAGCTGGGATTACATGTAGGCCACCTGATGCTTATGTCCTTGTGCCAAAAGTACTATGCGGGCAAGTTGATTGTATTTTCAATATTCAAGAATTGTGTAATTCTTTAGTTAACTTTTCTATTACACTTTACTTTATCTCCATTTACTTGTTGATGTTTTCTTTTGTTTATACTTTAATATATACTAGGTTGGCTTCCTATTAAGGACAAATGACACAAAATATCCATTTAGATTGTAGAGGCTGCTGGCAAAAAAAATTGTAGTGAACCAGATTTCTTTGCTACTTGAAGATCCTGATTATTTTATTCTTGAGAACCTGGCTATTTCGAAGATAGTAAGAAGATGTCATGTAACTATAGTTTTAAAAATAAATTTTCTAAGAGTAGACTTTTTTATTTGAAAAGGTATTTACTCTGTGTTCATGGGGGGTACATATAATTCAACAGAACTTCGCATGTTGTGTGTGCTTTAATTTTTCTCTTAAATTGATGATAACCATTAAGCATTCAGGTATGTGTATAGGTAAGAGAGTAACTCAGAAATGGTTAGTTTAGTCATAAAAAAGGTCTATGATTTGGAAGGATTGACTTAGAAAAACTCTTTTAATATGAGAGGAGAAAATATTCATAAGATGTTAGAAATAAAATACTTAGGAAAGCAAACCTCAATATTAAATGACATCCTGTAATCTAGCAACGGGGAGAGATTATACTAATAAATCGTGTACTCTTGAAACTCTGCTTTTTATCACAATAGAAGAAAACATCTCTCTTAACTCAAATTAGGAAATTATTATACACTTTATATATATATATTTATATAAAAGTTACAAGTAGCAAGCATATGACACAAAGAAATGGAGGAGTAACAGCAATATTTGAGAATGCATGCTTTTTACAATGTGTCTAATAAAGAGGGCATTTTCCAACCTAAATATCCAGTACGGACATGCAGGGTATTTTCTCAAACTTTCAATTCAATCATATTGCTAAGTGCTTAATCAAACAAAATTCTGTTGTAGAGTTTGAATGGTAAAATACCTGATTTCAAAAAGCCATTTATGAAACTCAATATTTTTCCTTGATAAAAACAAAACGGAAATCAGGGGTACATAGAACGATAAGGAGGGAGACAAAGAAAGACAGAGGTGGGGCAGATATTTGTCTTATTGCAATCTGGATTTTACTGAATTTCATTATAATAAAACAACAGATTTGTACAGTCCATTGAACCTCTAGCTGGTGTTGCCATCATCCACATTTCCAATTTTCATTGCAGCTTGTTCAAAATCACGCAGGAATGCACTATTCTCAAGCAGTCTATATAATGAAAACAATGTACATGTAACACAAAGTTCACCCAAAGATGTGGGGGTTTTTCCCCCACAGATCACACAGGTACAATCATGTAACAAAGACATGAACAACACAGAAACAAACATGAAACTGACAGTAAAAATAAAGCTGGGGTAGCCTTAATCGGGGACTAATCTCTTCTTCAAGTTTCCATACATCTCCGAATGTATTTAAACCTAAGGAGCACTTGGTGATCAGCAACCAAATTAGGAAATGGACACGCCATTGTGCAGCAGGGGTGTCTTGCCGAAGGAATAACACATGTCTGTAACTCTTAAGTTTGGATAAAGGCAGTGGAATGAATTTAGAAATATGTCTACTTTTCACAATTCACTACAGAATTTTCTTTTCACAGCCCCAAGTGTGTATAAATAGTTCTTCTCTGAAAATAAAGCACAGTTAAAACAGTTTCTCCCATTGGAAAAAAAAAATGCAACAAACACCAACTTAGTAAGGTCATACAGAGCATGGGATGCGTTCTCCTAATTCAAGAACAGTTGGTAGGCTTGAGGAGTTTGGAGATTAGCTGTGAAGCAAATTCAATTGGAGATGAATTAGAGTAAAATAAACGCAGACTACCAAGTGAAGATGTGAAGCCACTGTGATACTCCATGACAAACACATGCACATGGAGACAACTGGAGGTTATGAGGCTTTTAAAGCATGAAACATGCCATCATGTTAAAGCATGTTAAAGCATCAACATGCCACATTTCATTTTAATGAGATAAGCTAATTGTTCATGCAAAACTAAGACCACACAAATTGTATGAATACCACCAAATACTTGGTGACGTCTTTGAATAGAAGATATTCAAATTATACCAGTAATTGCCAATCTAATGAATTTACTTCAGTTACCTTAAGAGTGAATAGTGTTTTATTTTTCGAAAACCTGGGTTTCTTGTGCTAGTCCTTGGATGAAATTTCATTGCTTTTATTATCTTTGCTTATAATAAAAATATTTTTAGCTATTCTATTATTGAACAATACTTGATGAAAGAATATTAAAATGTATTTAAAAGCTATGTACTCTAAGAATAATCACCCCATTGCCATTGCATCCACTATACTTTTACATATAAAATGCCATGAGATGCGTAGCTTAAGAAATAATGGACAAAAACCACATTCCTTGAAATACTATGAGACAATTACAACAAAACAAAACAAAATAAAATATGACAAAGGGGAGAAGGGAACCAAGGGCATTTTCTTACCTTGAATTTTCGTTTTAGACCCTAGTTGTGTTGTATTCAGATTCATGTTTGCTTAGAGACCCAATGAGGCAGAACCTGGAATGTTATGGCTATTTCATTCAACAAAGTAATATTTGCACAAACTACAAATACTCTATTTACTTGAAAACATTCCTAAAGTTAATGAAGCAATGGAAACAATGGTATTTTACCAGCATGCAAACTATATTAAATCAACTTAGATATTTTAGAATTTGTCAATAAAATCTATAAATCTATATAATTAGGTAAAGCACATTGCAAGCATGCACACACAGAGTAATTTAACTAGATGCATGCTGGAATTTCCAAATAAACCAATATTAAATTCAAATTCTCTTCCCAGATATTTTTCTCATTTAAAAAATATTAACATATAAAAGATATTTTATATATGTAAAAATAAAAAATAAATAAAATTTCTCCCAAATTATCTATTTAAATATAAATTTTAGTGTTTTAGTATTCAATATTATAAAATAAAATTTGTAATATAAATATATTACATGGGGAAAATACACTTTTATTTTCTTAACCAAAATAGATTCTATTGCAAAATATTTCATTTTGAATTAAAAATATTCAATAAGATAGTCTAGCTATCTTTGTGTAAGGTAACCATTTCAGAAAATCATTTTATGTTCTGAAATATATAAGTATGAATAAGAGCAACAACTATGATTATGTGGAGACAAATTCATTGCATAAATCTCTACTATAAACGAAATGCTCTATTTTCATAGAAGTAATCTTGTATGTAAAGAAATAAACAAAATATCTGTGGCCTTTGTGCACGTGTTTGCGCCTCATGCACATATGTGGGACATAAAAGAGCAGGCTAGCACTAGGAGGAGAAAGACGGCATTGCGTGGTTTAAGCCATCATTCATCCCCAGCAGCATTTCCATCTTCAGTTACGGTTGCCATCAAATATCTATGGATACTGACCGCTGGACGGATTTCTCGTGTCTGGACAGCCTGTGGCTGGTGGTGGGCACCTCCTCGATCTCGTCGATGTCACAGGCATCCGCCGCGTCTTGTGAATAGTTGTGTTTCATGACCAGGATGTTCCTTCTGTTCACGGGTGGGATGAGGGGCTTGACTGGCTGCGTGGGTATCTCTGCCAGGATGGAGGCGTCCCTTGTGCTGAGGTTACTGCGGCTGCCCTTTGCGCTGGACAGCTGGGATCCACAGTGATGGTCATGGATGCATTTGGAAGAGGATCTCCGCAGTTTGTGGTAATTTTCAAAGTCTTCTGCCACATCTGCAAAGTCAGCTGTTGCTCCAGTTCCTCTGAGTGTGCATAACTCATAGTGAGGAGGCTCAAACACCTCCTGGAAAACGGTCTGGTCAAAGTCTGACTTCCTTTGGACGTATTTTTTACGAGGCTGTTTGATCTGTACAATGACAGAAATGATAATAAGGATGATCACAATGCAGGAAGTCACGCCAATGACCGTCCCACTGGTGTTGGTCAGCTGATCCAGCAGGCTGGTTTTCCTCTTTTCTGTAGGGAGGAGAGAGTGAAGACAACAGACAGACAAGAGGAGAAACAACCCACCACGTGTTAATATCGCCTTCACAGTGCAAATTCAAAACTTTAAAACAAAACAGGCTGAGCATACAGTTTTCACAGCCTTAAGTTATCACACAATTCTTCAAAATAAAAACTCTATTTCCAAAATGGCTCTACTTTCCATCCGTAAAAGTAGTCATCTCATTGCTCATATCCCTACTTTAAATACTTATATGTAGACATATTTGTGCACATACATATGCATGTTAATATTTGCGTAACTCATAACATGGCGTCTGTAGATGGCATAGCAATTTTCTGAACTATAATTTGTTTTCTTAGTCATAAGAGGACCTCTAAAATTCTGAATCAGGAATTAATATACCTGCCTTTCTCTCTGTGTTTGCTTGGCAGAGAAAACAAGTTACAGTAGTAAGCGCATTCTAATGCCAAGAAAAATTCAACACAGCATCACAGCAAACATTCTTGAATGGTAGCAAGAGAACTTATACATATTTTCTCAAATCAAAAATTATAAAAATTGACTCCTGAAACTCTGTTGTAATGAGCGTATGGACATTTTTCTATTAGTGTGTAGCAGATTGGCATGTACAGCAAGGGACAGGGGAGACAGAGTGTGTGAAGAAAGAACAACTGCATGTTCATAGCTTGAAAGCGTACATTTAAAAAGGCACTAAGGGAATTAATCCATCACCTAACATTACAATAGGGTAAAATAAAATATGCCAGAACTTTCTAGGGAGAGTGAACACACGTGCCATATGAGTAATGATTGGCTTCCAAGGCAAGCAATCAGTATTTCAGGGAGGCTGAAGGTGAAACCACAAGGCTCCATTTGGAGGAATAAAATTTACGAGGGAAATAGTACAGGAAAGTGAACAGAGTACCACAAACAACAACAACAACAACAAAAAACAAGGATCAAGTAATCAAACAAAAGCACACAAGGAGAAAAGAGAGAAATTAAAATGAATATTTTAAATTAAGGGTTCAAAATTCCCCCATATAATGATAAAATGTATATACAAATTCAAAAGTGAAATAAGTGTAGAAAAACTACTTAGACAACTAAAATAGGTTGTAAAATTGTAGAGGAAAAGGAAATCAGCCTAGGGAATGATAGACCCAGATTTACACGATTATCATGTGGTTGGTGAGCATTGGCGGTCAAAACGACACAGATTCCTGTTACAGCAAACAAAATCAAATTTAAAAATCATATAAATAACTATATACTCAAAATCACTGTCTAGTAAAACTACTTTTAAAATGAAAACAAAATTATTGTCAGATTTAATAAAATTAAAAAAAAAACAATAAATCTGCCTTAAAAAGTCTTTGAGTTCCATTCAAGAAAACCATGGCAATGGCAAAAAGAGATGAGAAAGAAGGAGAAGTAGAGAGACAGACATACTTATTAAACCCTTCTTCATATTCAGGGAGACCTGTGTATCATTGTACTATAGATCCTCTACCTTGTAGAAATGTGTTTCCTATTACTAACTGTAGACCTGAATTTGCTGGGAGTTAAACCATTGCTTTAATAAAGGAAGGATACAAACATATAGAAATAGAACAGACTGAGTCAAATGTTGTTGTTTTTGTGTTTATGGTCTCACAGTTGATCATTCTGCTTTGGGTAAACAATAAGGGTGCTCATCAGGCTCTCATGAACCCCCTGGTGTCTGGGCCTTGTTATATAGCAATGGTAAGGAAAATCCCTACATATAATTAAGTGATGTAGAAACAACCAAAATGCTTATAGCAAATTATACTACTATGGACTGTCCTTATTCTTTTGCCACCCTGAAAATAGAATGATATAAGATAGTAATTATTATAGTAATCGGATGAGGTTGTAAGATACATAATATAGTATGTAAAATTGGGTAACAAGAGTAAAGAGTGCAGGAAAAAGGTCTATATTTCATAGAAAGTTTAGCCTAAAACATGAAAGATATATTGAAAAGTTGTATGCTATAAACCCTTATGTCAACACAGTAAAACCAAATCAAGAAAATATTGAACACATGCTACAGTACAACATATATACATAGTGTCCTAGAGACTGTAAAAAGAGAAAATAATGAGACATATAGATGACAAAAACTGACAGAGGGTATGAATATTAATATGGACAATACAGAATGACATATGGATATATTAAGTAACCTAATGAAATGAAAGAGACTGTTGGAATGGATAACAATTAATGTTAAATTATATATTGTAGCAAAAATTTCCTGTATAAAAAGTAGAACAAATTAAAGAAAGGAGTAAATGATAGCCAAAGAAAGTTAGATGCAAATAAATAGACTTTTTAGGACAAAAGCGTGTAACTAAACCTGTATATCATCTTATGGTGATAAGGAAGGAAACTTTTGGGAAGCTCAACAATTCAAATACTCATGGGTTCAAAACCCCATGAAATGAAAGTGTTTTGAATGTAGAGAGAAAAGCAGGTCATCCAATATTACATGATGCAGAAAATTATAATATCATCTTTCAGACACAGGTGTACAAAGGGACCTAGAAGACTTATACAATGTTATGTGAACCTGCCAGATATGTAGGTATGACATACTCTGTCACACATCAGAAAATATGCTTTCATTTTATGAACAGGCGGAACATTCCTTTAGGCTCTTGTATGTGCTAAGCCATAAAGCCAATCCCAGTAAATCACTAGTATCTTAGGGGTAAGTTCTTCTATCACAAGAAAACTAGTTAAGATTTTGCAGATGGGTTAGGTCTCTGAAAAAGAGGTGGCTCAACTTTATAATGAATTTCTGGTCATGTTTTCCTGATTGCTGTTTTAGTTTTGTCACATGCTCTCCCATGCAGCAAACAGATGTTAATGACTGCTAGCCGACATGTGAGCTAACATGTGAGGACATGTCAGAAAGTGTGTCCTGTCCTATCTGTGCCCAAGTGGTTCTTTAGACAGAAATCATGACAAACACTCAGCAGATTATGTTGGAAGCTGCTGTTCTAGCAGCTGCTTGGATACTTAAATCTCAGTGGAAAGACTGGTTTACCAGGCCTTCATTGGAGTCAGGGAAGAACTTCCAAGTCCATCTCCTTTTGTTTGTGACTACAGGTGGGATAGCTTGTCAAAATCACACCTCTTGTTTCACCTCCTTGTGAATTTAACCCATTGTGCTGAGCTGTTTTTACTCTGGCTTAAAAGCAGTCTGCAATAAAAGCCAGGCTGCTGGTCCAGTCTACTCTCTACTAGAGCCTCTCAGAAAGGTCCCATGTGTTGTGTGTTAGTTTATTAATTTTAATCCTCACTCCAAACTCAAGAACCATTCGACTCTGCTGTCAGGCTCCGGCAGATTGGTGCCCAACGTGGGGCTTGAGATACAGGGAATCAGTGAAGGACACTGCAGGTGTTGGAGAGCTCCAATCATTAAGTAAAAAGGGTGCAGTGAGTAAATCTGAGAGAAAAAATGGGACAAGGCAGAAGCCTAGTGTTTTGTGTATGGAACTTAATTAAAGATAGTCTGTCTATGCAGCAGGAAACTGAGAAAGTTCAACTTTCAGGCTCAGAGAGAAGGAGGTTAGAAAGATGGCAGGCTTCAAGAAAAAATGATATTAGACCATCAGCTCCTCCAGAGGAGTTGTATTTCCCTCCTGATGTCAGTAATTTCTTGTCAGAAGGAGACTTTGAGGATGACTTAGATCCTAATGAGGTTGCAGAGTTGGAGGAAGAACCAGATCAGTATTATTCTGAGAGATAGCCTCTGATTCAGGCTATGCATGTTAAAAAGCGTAAGCCTTGGCAAAAAGAAATTGAAAGATTAGAATGGGGCTTGGAGGAAATGAAAAAAAAAATTGGAAAATTAACTACTAGGGAAAATGAGGCTCAATCCCCCACTCCAACTCCATCATTGGTTACAGGTTTGGACCCTCCTCCTGGGACTGCTACAGTTGCAGTGGCCCAAAAGACAAGGGGATTGTTTCCTTTGTCCACTGTATGGGTTACTGTATCTCGCTTACAAGTTTCTTTACAAGAAGCTAGGCAGAATGGAGAACATATAACCGAGTTTTATGGTCTACTCTCCACTAGAGCCTCTTGGAACTGTCCCACGTGTTGTGTGTTTTTTAATTTTAATCCTTACTCCCAACTCAAGAACCATTCGACTCTGTTGGTGGGCTCCGGCAAGAATAGTCTTCATTTAGCAAACTTTTCTTACTGCCCCATCAGGTTATTTGGGAATGGGCAGGTTTTCTGTGCTTCTCTTTGCAAGAAGTGTTTTGATAGATCACCCTAAAATGTAAGTGGGAAAGTATTCCTTGTCTATCTTCCCTTAAGTGGGGTTTAACATTTGGCCTTAATAGTGGATGCTTTTATGGTAACTGAAATGTAGCATAATCCAGCCAGAGAGTCCTATATAAATAACCAATACTTGGTTGTCCGCTGGCCCAGAGGGCAGGGACACTGGGAATTATTTCATAGGAGAGGGAAAAAATATTTTGTTAATAAAAGAGAAGCAGCTTCAATTGAAAACAGAAATTATCCTTTCAAATATTTTATCTTGAGACTGAGTGAAAATGTGAGTTGGAAAAATCTGGAATAAATGGAAACAGATTAGAAAAACGGAAAAAGAAAAATGACTTCGTAGAGAAGCAAGGCTCGGCACAGCTGCTCTTTTCTCCACTTGATTCTGCAAGTTCTCATGAGTTGTGTTTAGTGTTGTAGAATGTAAGGGGGCCTCTGTCAGTACACTGAGGAATGAGGAAGGAGATGCTTACAAACTTACTCTAGGACATATGCAGTGTTGGAGAGACAGCTCAAGGGTTAAAGAGCACTGGCCGCTCTTCCAGAGGACCTGGGTTCAATTCCTACCACCCATCTGGCAGCTCACAAGTATCTGTAATTCCTGCTCCAGGGGATCTAACACCCTCGTGCAGATAAAAAGAGGGAAAACCACCAAAGTACATAACAAACAAAAACAAATAAATTATAAAAAAGACACATGCAGACAGACAAAACTGCATCCTCTCCTTTTTAAGACTTATGCACTGCACGTATAGAGTCTTCCCACTCTCCAGCTCTGGGTCCATTACCTTTACAGTGATTTTCATCCCAGGGATACACACAGTTCTGGAGCCCGTTGCAGACCAGCGTGTTGTTAATACACATGTTACTGTGGCAGAAGAACGTGTTGCCTTCACAGGGAGCTAAGAAAAGAGAGAGAGAGAGAGAGAAAGCATGATAAAGGAAGAAAGTCTGAATAGGACAGAAATCAGGATGTGTCTTTAACAAGACGTATCCCTTGCTTCTCAGAAAAGCTGCTACAGTGGGCATGACTCTGGTGACTGGCACCTACTGGAGGCTCCAATTATTGAGAGAACATAGTGTTTCCACCCTCATCAGTACATGCAATTTCGCAAAATTTTGTAATAGCATATGCTGTGCTCTTCCGAAACTTTACATACATAAATTTAGATTGACTTCACAAAAGCACTAAATAAAGGGGTTATACTTTTAAAAATATGTCTGACAAGCACTATTGAGAGAAAATATATATTAAGCAAAATGGCATAACACTTTAGAACATGTAAAATAAAAGTTATAGAAATCCAGAAACAATAAATTAATTTTCAACAACCTCATAAAATAAGAAAATTTATTTTCTGCTTATCCTCAGAGAGAGAGAGAGAGAGAGAGAGAGAGAGAGAGAGGAGAGAAACACAACAAATACAGCCAACTCGGACCAAGTGGCTACACCTGCTCCTGGCTCTGGCTTCCCCAATAAGTGATGTTCACTTCCCACAGTCAGGATCTGCTAGTGTAATGATTACAATCCATGAAACAGCATCTGGAAAAGCTTTGAAAGGCAAAGAACTCTGGCAGTCATTTTGAAAGTATCATGCTTAACACTGTGTTATATTGGTGATTTGTTAAGAGATGTGTAAACCTGTTACAATGGAGAATTGGATGATTTGATATATTGTTACAAAAATTTGCTTTTTAAATGGAATTAATTTTGAGTTTCTGTAGCTAACTGTGATGACCTTGCAGAACTGACATGGTCTGTTACATAGATAATAAATGCTGTAAAAATTTGTGCACAAAACATAAACGCATTTTCTGCAAATGGATTAGACCGATTTCAAAAAATATATATGTGTAAAACATTATTGATAAATTTCTCTAGATTATAGTTACATAGGAAGAATGCTTTTAAGATACTTGCTACTTTTGTCCTTCCAATAATGCCTTACAAATATTTTAGTTGCTATAGCTGATGAGTTAGTAAACACAAGAATCAAAAGAGCATTTTAGCTTGGGCAGGAGGGAACGTGATAGTGTGCGGAGACTGCCATTTCAAGCAGCAAAGAGGTGAGCTTCTCCTGCTGCTTCTTGATGGGAAATCTATGAATCAACATGTTATCAGTTGTTATATGGGTTGTGGTTTTACTGAGAACACAATAAATACAGAAATGCCAATACATTTTATTCCATCATTAGATCATTAAGCAGTGGGAATCACCATCACTTACCTTGAGTAATATTTTAAGTAGTGAATAACCTTTTTTTTTTCTTATTTTTGGTGACATATATATAATTATATATATAGTTATAAATTGTGTGTATATATATACAAATTACAAACAAACAGAAAAATACAAAAATAGCAGATAAATGCTGCCATGGTATAAAGCAAATCTGTAACATGGTAATACTTGAACTAAAACTAAATTTTGTAAATAGGAAAAGCTACTTTGTTGTGTTAGGACACACTGGACTGAGTATGTGAGCAGGAGGATCTTCACTTTGGTCTGTGGCGAATGACTGTTTCTCTGGCCACAAGCAGGTTCACTTTGAACTGCACATTGAGAGTTTGGCAGGAAGTCCTGACAGGCCATTCTCAAATTCCCAGAAAACCTCTTTCAAACTTTTTGCTGTTGAGCTGGCCCGTATGTCAGTTATTCTGCTTTAACGTCTGTAAAATGGGTCGAATGTGGTGATTTCATCACGCACAGGTGTGGTGGGATGCAGATAATACAGGCATCCCCCATACGGGATGTACCTCCATGGGAGAGTATTGGCAAACAGGTGAAGACAGCTGGTTTCCTTCCCAGCACCAAAAGGAGGAACATGCCTGGGACTGCTTTCAGGAGAGAATTGAAGTGGCGCCCACAGACATACCGTCTGATTTTGAAACCTGATCCACCAGCTCTCTGTTGTGTGAGCTTGAATGGGTGTGTTCTGTGATGCCACTTTCAGTTTACACGCATGTAGGCACAATCTTCAACCTTACCACAGAGTATTATGGTGACAATTAGATCTCTATACCTTTAAAGTCTATAAAAGTGACGGTGTCACATGGGGACAAACGACAGATGCTCGTCAGCTCTCTCATTAAACACTGTGCTGAGATGAGGGAAAACTAAGCTCAGAGCTTGCAGAGCTGAGGGCAGCCCTTTAAACACTGCGCTGGAGACTCTGTAAGAGCAGGATCAGGAGGCCCTGTTCCCACTTGGCTACATCAAAACAATCTGTGTCAGAAATCAATTCCAGGGAAAACAATCTTGCAACCTTGAGGACACATAACACAATAAGAAGCAGCTTAAATGATGCTTCACTCGTTCCCTGCTGAAGTAAACATTTTTGTTTATTTTTTGAGAGATCACTGCCTTGCACTAAGTGAGAATGCATATTGGACTATCTTGAAAACAAGATTTCTCGTTATTTTTGTATCTTGGATATAGTGCCACAATATAAGATATTATGCTTCAATTCTAGAAAAAAAAACAGCAAAAATAGAGCTTATACATATTAAATATCAAGATAAATGTAACTTTTTAGCATATGTGTATGAATAAGAATAAAGCTTTTAAGAGACCATAGCTTAAGCATACATATTTACTTCTGATATGCTGCTTTTTACACTTCAACAAAATCATCAAAATAATATGTATTTCTTGTTATTAATTGTACCAACAGATATTTGGTTTCATCTTTAAAAGACAATATTGATTAATATAGAAAATATTTTATCTCATTTTCTGTTTTGTTTTTCGAGACAGGGTTTCTTTGTATAGCCGTGGTTGTCCTGGACTTGCATTGTAGACCAAGCTGGCCTCGAAATCACTGAAATCCACATGTCTCTGCCTCTCAGAGTGCTGGGATTACAGGCATGTGCCACCACGCCTGGCTTATCTTGTTTTTAATCTCAAAAGATTTTTTAAAAGGTTGATATTCTATAGAACAAGTGTTGATAAAAGTGACAATGTTGCCTTTTTAATTATGTATTTATTCATTTGCATTCTGGTCTTAGCCCCTCTCTCCTCTCCTCCCAGTCTCTCTCTCCCTCCCTCTTTCCCCCTCCTCTTATTCTTCAGAAAAGGGGAGAGCCCTACCCACCTACACCAGCTCATCAAGTCACTTCAGGACTGAGTTTGTCCTCTTCCCTTGTGACCTGGTAAGGGAGTCCCCTTAAGGGAAGTGATCAAAACGCAGGGAACAGAGTCCATGTGAGTGACAGTCCCCACTCCCCTTACTACTGGAACCACATGAAGCCTGAGCTGCTAATCGGCTACATACATGTAGAGGATCTAGGTGTCATCCCTGCATTGTCCTTGGTTGGCGCTTCAGACTCCACAGGCTCCTCTGTGCCCTGGCTGATTGGTTCTATTCATCTTCTTGTGGAGCTCTTGTCATCTCTAGGTCCTTTTATCCTTCCCCTCACTTGCATTCAAACATTTCAGAAAAACAAATAATACATCTAGACTGTGAGTTATTTATAGGAACCTTCAATGCAGTCTAAATTTTATTCACTGAATATTCATCCAAATACTTCAAAACAAATAGAAGCACAAAATTTCCCACAACTCTTTCACTTAAGAAATAGAAGGACAATCTTTTCTAGTTCCATCCATTTGCCTGTAATGGCGGAGTAGTATTCCGCTGTGTAAATGTGCCAGTTTCCCTACCCATTCTTTGGTTGAGGGACATCTGGGTTGTTTCCAGATTCTGGCTATTATAAATAAAGCTGCTATGACTATAGTTGAGCAAGTGTCCTTGTTGTATGGTGGAGAGTCTTTTGGGTATATACCCAGGAGTGGTATAGCTGGGTCTTGTTTTAAAGTTATTCTCAATTTTCTAAGAAAGCGCCCGGTTGATTTCCAAAGTGGTTGTACAATTTTACATTCCCACCCTCAATGCAGGAGTTTACCCCTTTCTCTACTTCCTCGCCAGCACGTGTTGTCACTTGAGATTTTGATCTTAGCCATTCTGATGGGTGTGAGGAAGATTTGTTTTGATTTACATTTTTCTGATGACTAAGGAAGTTGAGCATTTCTTTAAGTGCTTCTAGGCCATTAGGTATTCCTGTGTTGAGAATTCTCTGTTTAGTTCTATGCCTCATTTTTTAATTGGGTTATTTTGTTTATTGGTGTGTGATTTCTTGAGTTCATTATATATTTTGGATATTAGCCCTTTGTCAGATGTACGGTTAGTGAGGATCTCTTCCCAGTCTGTAGACTGTCTTTTCATACTATTGACAGGGTCCTTTGCTTTACAGAAGCTTTTCACTTTCATGAGGTCTTGTTTGTTGATTGTTGAACTTGGACCTTCAGCTGTTGGTGTTCTGTTCACGAAGCTGTCTCCTGTGCCAATGAGTTCAAGGCTCTTCCCCACTTTTCTTCTAATAGATTTAATGTGTCTGGTTTTATGTTGAGTGTTTGATATACTTGGACTTTACTTTTGTAAAGAGTGGTAACTATGGATCTATTTGTATTTTTCTACATGTAGACATCCAGTTAGACCATTTGTTGAAAATGCTGCCTTTTCTCCATTGTTTGGTTTTGGCTCCTTTGTCAAAAATCAAGTGATCATCAGTGTATGGGTTTCTGCGCCTTCTATGCAATTTCATTGACCGAAGAGTCAATTTCTATGCCAGTACCATGCAAAGTTTGAGGGAATGCCCAACCAATGCCTGGTCCAACAAAAGATCCACCCTATTGGACAGTGCCAACCCCTGACACTATGAACAATGCTTTGCTAAGCTTGCAGACAGGAGCCTGTCAGAGTTGTCCTCTGAGAGGCTCTACCCAGCAGCACCTCAAAACAGATGCTGAGACTCACAACCAAACATTGTTCAATGCTTAGGGAGTCTTGGGGAATAGTGGGAGGAAAGAGAAAAGGAACCAGAAATGACAGGAGCTCTACA